GAGAATTAGCCGATTTTGAAGTGACTTTGACGTCTAGTTTGCTTGGGTTTTTTACCCCGACAGAGGTCGATTGCTTTATCCAAACGATTCTGCTGTTGCACCATCACGTTCAGCGCCTCTCGCCGATTGCCGCTTTTCACCAAGAGGAAGACTCGCTAAAATTAAGAAAATGCGATAAAATACAAAAAAATAGACTAATTGAATGAAAATTGGCTGCTCGTGGATTACAGTAGTTCTCGAAAATAGACGCCTTTTAGAAAACGGCAAATTTACGGCATAAATTCAAATTTTGTTTTGAACCATGGAAATGATGTCAAAAGTTGTTGTGTGTTCCAGATCTGAGATTTCTAAATGTTCCTTTCAATTGGTTCACCTCATCATCATATTTCCGTGAATTCCAGCTTTTCTTGAATTCCAGCGGTGGATCTCGATGAAATTCATCGCGTGAACGTTCTGCCCAAAAACAAGTGCCGGATCCCTCACAAGCAATCCTTTATCCTTCATTCCTTGGAATCCTTCATTCACCTTGGTCAGTTCAACAACATCTTTTGTGCCCATTTGCTCCAAGACTTCCAACTTCAAGCCATAGCAACTCTCCATCGGAAATGACGTCAAATTTTTCATCGAAACGGTAGAGCTCCGTTCTTGATCGGCTCATTTTCCCCATCTTTCTTTTCATTTCCACTTCCATCATTTTTTGGTTCTTGAGTGCTTATTTCATTCGTGCGAGATGTAGATAGCACCCAAGTATCATGAATTGGACAAATGTAGATTCAATCCCTGACCGATCCGATACGTGTAGCGGAAACATTAAAGTTTCCAAAATAAAATATTCAAAAAAGATATCGCCATGTGTCTTTAACAGAACAAATCATCGTTCAAAAAGAAAAATGGTACAACTTTATTTCTCAGAAAACTAAAAACCGGCAAAATTACACAATAAAAGCACCAAAACTGTAAAAGTCTCGATAAAAACCCTCAAAACACGATCATTTCCTATCGTGATTCAATGTAGAAGGCGAGAAAGCCGCGCCAGGGAAGCATGTAAATACAATCTCTGCTCGCGTCAATGTTTCGTCGAAAAAATGGACCGTCCAACAACCCGCCGGATCTGCCGCTAAGCTTCCTCACGAGTTCGGTCGCCATTTCGGTGACTTCTTGGTGATTTTTTAGGTCGAATCGCTTCATTCCACAGAATTGCGAAAGAAAATCGACGATTCGGCCCTGCATCTCCTGAGAAACATAATCCCGGTGATACACATGAAAAGCCGCCTTCGAATTCTGGCTGGGGATCCCCTTTTCCACGATTGATTGCACGATCTCTTCAAAATTATGCACTTTGGTTGCGATTCTCAAGATTTTGATCGAAGTCTTGGCAAAAGCATCGTAGTAGCAGTGAAACGCCGTGGCAGAACCATAATGATACCACCATACGACTTCTTCGCAGTCATTCAGCTGATTTGAAATGAAATTCCCAAAAAGCTCGCTGATCACTTGATTTTCTTCCAACAAATCAATGTCCAAGTGAATCCGCGCGGATTTTTCAATCATCGAGCGGAAATTGTCAAAAAATTTCAGCAAACACTCCTTTGTACCCAATAAGAGCTCCAAATTTCTCACAGAGTTCAAGTGATTCAGAATCGTCGCGCGTTCGTTGTTGAGTTGTTCGTGGTTCAAGCCTATCTCCAATCTGTCACACGATTGGATTCGTCTGCTTAGCGGAAGATGACTAGCATCACTTTGGTCAAAGACGAAGAACTTCCGGATTTCAATCTTCCCGTCCAGCCATGCATTCATTTGAATCTCGTTGACGTGGTGGTTGAAAACGAGAGACGGATTGCGTGAAAGCATCCATTGAAATCCCGCATTCACTTTGACCAACTCAAGCGTATCTCTCGCGTCCATTCCCTCCAGCACTTCCAACTTCAGATCGTAACAGAGCCTCTCCATCGGAAACGAGGTCAGATTCGTCATTTCAAATGGCATCTTGAGCGGAATTCTTTCACCTGTAAAAGAAAGCAATTGGTGCTTGTCGGAAAATGAAAGAGAAAACACAAAAAGCAATCAATTTTTGGTGACAAGATGGTTTTCTAATGTTCTTGGGGTCAAACGTCAAATTTGGCTTTTCATAACCTTTTTAAGCCAACAACTCTCCCAATTTCATAAAAATCTGAGCAATTAGCCCAGGGAGAAGGGGAACCATAAGCAAAATTTCCAAAACAAAGCTTAAAATTCCACAAAATCGGTCATAAATCAAAAATAATATGGTCCTTGAACCAAATCACTGCTCCAAAACACCTTAATTAGTAACTTTATTATTAGAAAATTAACAAGTAAACATTAAAAACGTAACCAAATACCGTAAAAGACTCGTAATCACATCAACGCCCAAGAAAAAACGGAACAGGTAACAACCTAGCAATAAGTTCATACAAATCTTCATTCCTTCGGTTTCTCGCCTTCGGTTTTATACGCGCTTTCCAACAGGCATTCTCGTATGGAATCTCGTATCTGAAACTTTACAACTTCTGCAATTCCTCATTAACCATTGGAGTGGAAAAGTCTTTCCTATTTTAAATGACGTTTTACGGAAAACAGCCGACTACAACCACAAATAAAACTTTCTTTTTGGACTCTTTAGAATGACAGTAAATGTTGGCCAAGAACGAGTATCAATTTTTTTACGCTACTGAAAAAACGGTAAGCTCAATGCTAACGCTTGATAAACGAATAGCTAGTGATAATGATAAGGTAAAAACCAGGTAAATGTTCGTGTTAGAATTCAAATGCTTAACCATTACTCGTTTAGCAAACGTAGCTAGAAGCACTAACTAGTGGAATTTAGCTGAAAACCGTTAAAAGCCCCACCATCACATCAACATCCTCCATCAGGTACGTAGATTCGCTCACGTACTCCCCATCATCGCACCCGGTTTACGACTCGATTGTGATCCGTTCGACGCACACTTTCCACAGCAACTCGTCGAGCATATCATTTTTTTTCTAAAGAAAAGAATTAAAGATGTAGATTCAAAAGTTTAAAAGTGCGATAAGACCCACCTTTGCAGCTTGACAAATGGATGGTCGAAGCCATGAGGTCCTTACAACTTGAATCTGGAGAAATGTCGAGAAAACTGAACACCAACATTCCAACATCACCATACAAATCCTTTTGCATATTGAACGGGGCGAGTGAACGGGACCGGAAGATCGCCTCGAAGTGTACTAAATGGAACAACAGGGGTATAAGAGCCAAAAACATTAACCCTTACCTTGAATATTTATTTTCATCTCGGCCGAAAGGCAAACAAAGGCGTCAGTGTCGACCGGTCGAGTGTCAAGCTGTCCATTCCATTGGACCTCCCTTCAGGCACGGGGATCTAAAGTTAAATAGTTAAATTAGTTTGGGCGCAATACCTAAAGGCAGTTGCTACCGGTGCGGCCAGGCACGTGTGCTGCAAGCAGGCGCGAAGCTCGAAGGGCGAAAGGCGAAAGGAAACAAACCAAAAAACCCGATATCTATAGGCAGGTGCAGACGGTTCAAAGGCCAGAAACAATCTTCTTGCAAACAAGACAAATAAAAATGACAACTGAAATAAATGGCAAGAAGTTAAAGGCAAAAACTGGGCCAAATGATAAATAAGGTTCACTTAACATTGTTCGAAACTTTCCCGAAAATGCCTGAGTGACATTTATTTTTTGTTTTACTAGCATCGTTGGGGTGTTTCCTAGCCAAATAAGTCCAAAAATTCCATCCGGAGAAACCACTTATGATCGATATTTTCCCTTCCTTTTTGCGGAGGTTTGCCAATGGGCATAAAAAAAAGAAAAGAGTTGCCGATGGGAATAAAACAAGCCAAACATGCCACGAGTTTTTCATTTTCTTTCCTTTTGGATATGTTTTTGCTGGAGATACTCAGCTAACCGGCGAAATACTCATTTACCAATGGCCATAAACGCGAACATGCCATGATTTTTTTCATTTTCTTTTCTGACTTTGAAATGTTTGAAATGCGAAAGCTGACGTCATTCCCAATGGAGAATCTATGCTATGACCTAAAACTGAAGTTGTTTGAGTAAATGGGGCCGAATCATGCGATTGAATTAGTCAAGGTGAATGCAGGATCTAGATCGATCCTGCAGCGGAGGCCTTGGATAGTTTTTGGGCATCACGTGCACGAGATCTCTATTGGTGGAAGGAATCTAATCAAGAAATTCCCGGGATCATCCTTCGTCTAACTTGATGCCGATCTCCACCTTCCATTAATCCAACGAATCCACTCGTGTGACGGATTGCTTATAGTCTTGGTCCACGAACAATTCAACTACGAACAGGCAACGGTTCTGAATCAATGTGTTGAGTGTTAGCGAGGATTTGCTGAAATTTTGTGGGAATTTCCGCTGGCTGATTGAAGAATCCGCGTACTTTGATGTGAACATTGATTTGTCCACAGAAAATCAATTGGTCAATCAAAGCAGCTTCTCAAGGATTTCATTGCAAATCAGGCGAAGGACTGCGAAAAGGTCGAGTTTTCTTGTCTTTTATGCGGAGACGCGCACAATGCGCTATTCTCAGGAGATGTATGCCCGAATCGTCGATTTTCTATCGCAATCCCCTGGAATGAAGCGATTCGACGGAGAAAATAATCAAGAGGTCATCAAAATGGCGAACGTACTCTTGAAAAAGCTTGTGAGAGACCGGCTTGGTTTCAAGGATGTTCTGTTTTTTCGGCGAAACATTGACTCGAGCAGGGAGTGTGTCTACATGCTTGCACTGCACAAGGAAAATGCCTACAAATTTTTCGCCTTCTACGTTCAACCGCAAACGGAAATGATGGAGTTTTGAAGGTTTTTATTGGACTTTACACGGTTTTAGTGCTATTATTGTGTCATTGTTTCATTCTCATCTATTTCATCCAATCCATCGATATTCGATATCCCTCGTGGAGCCGGGGCAGAAGTTAGCAAAAATCAATCGATCGTTTACAATTTATTTACATTTTCAATTGTTCTTCTTTTTTGTGCAACAAAAATAATTTCAATCATCATTTATTTCAGCCAAAAGATAAGGCTTTATAAGTAGCCAATAAAATGTGAAATAAAAATAATTAGCTAAAATAAGTTAGGGAATGGGATCCACATCGATTGGAGATCGGATTGTTTGCCGCGTTTTTTTCACTCCTTGTCACCTTGGGTCTTCTTGGAAAGGAAAACGGACTGGAAGTTTACTTGGTTTTATTAGACGTACGAGATTTTCAATAGAATTCTTAAATTATGTAAGACATTGAATCTAGTCTAGGCTGTGAAATGAGAGAGTCAGACCAGAGTCCCGGGTCTGACCACTGGATATTTGTACTAGATACGTCCATCTGGAGAGTTTCCACAAATATGACAATGCTTAAGTAAAATTGGACAATTGGGACAATTGGGACAATTAGACGATACCAAATGAAGGTTTGTTGAAAATAGCTTACTCTTGATCAGAATCCATACCTGAAACATAAAAACGTATTTCAAAAAGAAGAAAAGAAAAAAAAGTGATCTTTCAGCCGATCTGCAGATGAAGAGTGTCCTTCCGCCACGTTTGAATCGGTTAAAACCCCTTTATAATTTGCCTTTATAAGAACAACAAGCATCATTTCGTATTAATTCCAAGACGAAATGTGCCTTTTCTAGATAAGGAGCCAATGTTTCCTGTCTGCCATGGATATTTAATTTGTCCGAAACGCTAGGATTTCATAAAGCATTTCGAATCTCCAATTCTAAAAAATTGAAATGGATTTTGACAGACTACTAGACCACATACTGTAACGGACCATGCATAATCGGGTTCATCATCGAACCCCGAAAAGTCTACTGCGTTTCGAAAATGAACACACTAAAAGAATCATAGATTTTTCATAGATTCATAGATCATAGATGTTGTCCACAATTGTTCACAAAACTCACTAAGTGTATGAGTTGTTCATCAAAATCGCTTGGTTTTGAAGATCATCGAAGAATCATAGATCATTTGTTCACAAACCATATTGAAGTGCCTAGACTCTAGAGACTCGTGCCTAGACTAGAGTTGAATAGATTTCTCGACAATGAATTGGAGTTGATTTTCCCAGAGGAGGTCAACCATTAACATTTGTTCAGAAACGATTTCAAAATCCTTCTTGACGATTCTTGGAAACGAGGGTCTTTCTACGTGGCTATGGTGTGTTGACTTGGATCTCCTGTAAAAACGCTTTGTTTAGATGCATATCTAAACATTGAATGTGCATTTCTGAATACATTTCCTCTTGAACCAAATATATGCTCTTGAAGCCTTCAGTGTCTCAAGTCGTGCAAGTCGTATTCTCTTCGAGCAAATGTTTTCAGATATGCAACACTGTTTAGATATGCATATAAACAATATGTTTTATAATTCGATTAGCTATTTACGTGATTTGATTCTAGCCATTTTCGTGTTGTCGTAATAGGTTGAGAAAAAACTGTTGGTGTTTAATGCGGTTGATGGTCCGCTTCCTTTAAATGTAAAACGAGAGAACTCCATGACAGCGTCTCTTTTAAAAAGTTCATTTTGCAAGTCGTGTTCTATCTAAAAAACAAATTTATATTTCTACAATAAGATTAAATCTTACGTAACGTTTTGCCAACGATCCTTCTGGCGGTCTTTTCTCGGTCTCCTTGCCGACGTTATCCCGTAAAAAACCTGAACCAAATTCAACATCTGCGTAGTATTCCTTTTCGTGTGGATCATCTTTGGTTGGTACTGGAGTACGTAATCGTATAATCCAATGAATACGGCTGTGATGTTCTTCACGCTGAAACAATTCAAATGAATTCAAATCAAAGAATTCTCAAACACATAAAAAGTTCTCATTGAAGTTTTGGATCCTTCGGCGATGCTCCTTTGCGGTAGTAAGAACAGTAAACGAAGCAACTTAAAAGAAGAAGAGTTAAAAGAACTATTTCTCAAAAATGTTTAACAAATTCAAGTCTCAATAACAACCATAGAACATGAGAAAGATATGACAAGGAGAATCAGCAATGAGTGCTTATTTCATTCGTGCGAGATGTAGATAGCACCCAAGTAACATGAATCGGATATTATATAGATTAAAACCCTGAACGATTCGATTCGTGTAGCGGAAAAACGAAAGTTTCCACAACAAAATAATCAAAAAAATATCACCATGTGGCTTTAACAAAACAAATCATCGTTCAAAAAGAGAAATTGTACAACTTCATTTCTTAGGGACCTAAAAATCGGCAAAATTACACAATAAAAGCACTAAAACTGTAAAAGACTCGATAAAAACCCTCAAAATACGTGAAAAAAACATTGGAGTTTTCTCTTGAAAGTAGGAAAAGGAAATGCAAAAGTCGCCGCATGTTTGGCGTTGATACCCATTGGCAAAACTTTTCTATCTTTTTATAACCATTGGCAAATCTTCGGCAAAAAAGGATATTTAGCTAAGCATTTTGGATTCAAAGAAAAACTCGCGAAATTTTTAACAGTCATTCATTTTACAAGCCCTTCCCTAGTAGGTGCCTATTTTATTTTAACTTTTTCCTCTCTTTGCTATTTAAAACGAAAACCACTTATTAGTCTGCATACACGATTTTTTTTCAGAGATGTTGCTATCGAAATCCGCGATTAGGTGCAATGCGAGCCCAGCCACGACACACCAGCCACTCCACTTCACTCCATTATGGCCTACCACTTCTCGCCTATATCAGCCGAATCGCAGAAGTTTGTGAGTTTGTTTCCGAGTTTTGATCTCAATGCTGGTGCTTTTGTAAAGCTTTTGCAGTTTTCCTCCGAAAAATTTTACGAACATCAAAGGTGCGCGCCGGCCATGTAACCGCGCGTTTCTAAGAAACTTAGGTTTCAGAGCTCGCGTTTCCAATGACCAAAACACAAAATTAAAAAACAGTTCCCGATTAATTTTTGGGTAGAATTCAGAAATTTGCTTTTTCAGCTTTTATGATCTAGATTTTCGTGAAAAATTAATTTGACTTTTCGGCGCAGAATCATGAAAAATCTCATGGGAAAATAGAATTCCACAAAAACTCAATTCAGTATTCTGAAAGAGCGTGGTAAGAGCTATCGAATGACATATAACACTTTATGGTTCGATGAAATATGAAATTTCAAGAGCATCAGCGTCGCTGCCTTTAATTCTGAAATTTTGGATGATAGTTTTTGGATGATCTTATTCTTTCCGTTCATTTTTGGGCCCAACTTAAAATTTGTAGTGTACGAATTTTTGATTTAAAGAAAAAAATTTACATTAGAGTGTAATTGATGTGGAATCTACTTGTTCGGAATATCAATTAGGGCAGTAGAAATTAATTCTTTTTTCTTCTTCTTTTCCTTTTCTTTTTCCGGTGATTGACAAGGACAAGGTGATTGATTTGAGATGAAAAATGGCGACGAGAGCAAGATGGTTCAGGCTGTGAGGACCTCATTGCTTCGACCATACATTTGTCAAGCTGCAAAGGTGGGTCTTATCGCACTTTTAAACTTTTGAATCTAAATCTTTAATTCTTTTCTTTAGAAAGGAAATGATATGCTCGATAAAGTTGCTGTGGAAAGTGTGCGTCGAACGGATCAAAATCGAGCCACGAATCGGTTGCGATGATGGGGAGAACGTGAGCGAATCGACCTCCCTGGTGGAGGATGTTGATGTGATGGTGGGGCTTTAACGGTTTTCAGCTAAATTCCACTAGCTAGTGTTTCTAGCTACGTTTGCTAAACGAATAATGGTTAGGAATTTGAATTCTAACGAACATTTACCTGATTTTTGCCTTATCATAATCACTCGCTAATCGTTTATCAAGCGTTAGCAATAATCTTATCGTTTGTTCAGTAGCGTAAAAAATTGATGCTCGTTCTTTGCCAACTTTTACTGTCATTCTAAAGAGTCCAATCCCAAGTTTAGGCATGGAACAGATGCCGACAAGAAAGTTTTATCTGTGGTTGTAGTCGGCTGCTTTTCGTAAAACGTCATTGAAAAGAGAAAAGACTTTTCCACTCCCATGGTTAATGAAGAATTGCAGAAATTGTAAATTTTCAGATACGAGAATGCCTGTTGAAACACGCGTACAAAAGCGAGAAACCGAAAGAAGGAAGATTTGTATGAACTTATTGCTAGGTTGTTACCTGTTCCGTTTTTACTTGGGTGTCAATGTGATTACGAGTGTTTTACGGTATTTGGTAACTTTTTTAATGTTTGCTGGTTAATTTTCTAATAATAAAGTTACTACTTAAGGTGTTTTCGAGCAGTGATTTGGTTCAAGGACCATATTATTTTTAATTTATGACCCATTTTGTGGAATTTTAAGCTTTGTTTCGGAAGTTTAGCTTATGGTTCCCCTTCTCCCTAGGCTAATTGCTCAGATTTTTATGAAATTAGGAAAGTTGTTGGCTTAGAAAGGTTATGAAAAGCCATATTTGACCTTCGACCCCAAGAACATTAGAAACCCATTTTGTGTTTTCTCTTTCATTTTCCGACAAGGACGAATTGTTTTCTTTTACAGGTGAAAGAATGACTCTCAAGATGCCATTTGAAATGGGGAATCTGACTTCGTTTCCGATGGAGAAGCTCTGTTACGAACTGAAGTTGGAAGTGCTGGAGGGAATGGACGCGAAAGATACGATTGAGTTGGTCAAAGTGAATGCGGGATTTCAATCGATGCTTTCACGCAATCCGTCTCTCGTTTTCAATCACCACGTGAACCAGATTGTAATGAATCGAAGACAAAAAAGGCAGTGCGGGAGGATTCAAATCCAGAAATTCTTCGTTTCCTTGAAAATTGATGCGAATCATCTTCCACTAAGCAAACGAATCCATTCGTGTGACAGATTGGAGATAAGCTTTGGAGCAAGTGAGTACGGCGGACAACTCAACAACGAAGACGCGACGATTCTGAATCAGTTGAACTCTGTGAGAAGCTTGACACTCATATGGCTCAGACAGGAGTGTTTGCTGAAATTTTTTGACAGTTTCCGCTCGAAGATTGAAGAATCCTCGTGCATTCAGCTGGACATTGATTGGTTGAAAGACAATCAAGTGATCAGCGAGCTTTTTAGGAATTTCATTTTAAATCAGCTGAATGACTGCGAACAAGTCGTCTGGTGGGATTATGATCGTTCTGCCGCGGCGTTTCACTTCTACTACGATGCTTTTGCCAAGACTTCGATCGAAATCTTGACAATTAGAACCAAAGCGCGTAACTTCGAAGAGATCGTGCAATCAATCGTTGAAAAGGGGATCCCAAGCAAGAATTCGAAGGCAGCTTTTTATGTGTATCACCGGGATTATGTTTTTTTTGAGGAGATGGAGAGCCGAATCCTCGATTTTCTTTCGCAATTCCGTGGAATGAGGCGATTCGACGGAGAAAATAATCAAGAGGTCATCAAAATGGGGACGGAACTCGTGAGCAAGTTTAGCGGCAGATCCGGCTCGTTGTTGGAGAGTCCATTTTTTCGACGAAACATTGACTCGAGCAGAGATTGTGTCTACGTGCTCCGCTGGCGCCACGAATCAAGTAAATTTTTTGCCTTCTACACTGAACCACAATAGGAAATGATCGTGTTTTGAGGCTTTTTATCTAGTCTTTTACAGGTTTAGTGCTTTTATTGTGTAATTTTGCCTATTTTGAGTTCTCTAAGAAATAAAGCTGTACAATTTCTGTTTTTGAACGATGATTTTTTGTGTTAAAGACACATGGCGATATCATTTCTGATTATTTTATTGTGAAAACTTTAATGTTTCCGCTAGACGAATCGAATCGGTCAGGGTTTTAATCTACATAATGGCCAATTCCTATTACTTTGGTGCTATCTACATCACACACGAATGAAATAATCACTCATTGCTGATTCTCGTCGTCATATCTTTATCATGTTCTATCGTTGTTATAGGCAAGAGACTTGAATTTGTTAAACTTTTGAGAAATAGTTCTTTGAACTCTTCTTCTTTTAAGTTCCTTTTGGCTTCGTTTACTGTTCTTACTACCCCAGCGACAGCATCCCCGAAGGATCCAAAAATTCAATGAGAACTTTTTATGTGTTTGAGAATTCTTTGATGACTTGTTGTGGAAGCGGATCTTCTGTGCCGTGTGCCTCCGTGTATTATGTGTGTTTGTGTAGGTTGTATCGAAGCAAAACCTGTAACGGCGAAAGCTTTTTGCTTCTTCGGGTTCCACGACGAGGTTCACAGGATGCCGAGTGAATGCCGAGCACTCATTCCCAAGATAATCGTTTGATCAGGTAAGCTTTAACTAAAATAAATTGAACTTTTTAACTTTAGATCCCCCTGCCTGAAGTGGCTTGGCTGGAGTGTTCGAATTTTTGATTTAAAGGAAAAAATAAACATTAGAGTGTAATCGATGTAGAATGTACTTGTTCGGAGTACCGATTAAGGCAGTAGACATCAATTTTTTTATAAAGACTAACAAATTCCAGCCTACAACCTTACGCTTGCGAATTAAAAAAAAATCTGCCACACGTTAACTTCATTTTGTTTAGCATCAAGCAGTTTCATTATTGAAGAGATCTGGCATCCCGCGAACATAATCTAATGTGGCCGAGTGGCAAGTGACAAATCCGAGTGACAAAATCCGACGGATTTGTTTCTTCATGGCACAGACACACTTGTCTACACAAGCTCATCTTTGTTGTTTATGATGTAGAACTTGAGAAGTCTGTAATCTTAAGTAAGATGTAACTACCTTAAATTTCACTTTTGAACTTTAGATTCAGGTGGCTGAAGTGAAGTCCGATGGAATGGAAAACTTATCGCTCTACAATTCGTGTTTTTTTTACAATTGTTTGCCCGAAGATGCACCCTTTTGGCCGAGGTAGGGTAGGTAGGGGTTAAAGTAGGAGTTAAAGTCTTTGGCTCTTCTACGCCTACTATTCTATTTAGTACACTACAAGGCGATCTTCCGATCCGTTCAACCTGTTCAATATGCAGGAGGAATTGTACCGTGATGTTGGAATGCGGCCTTTCCCATCTACGATTTCTAATTTGTTTAATGTCTCATTCCGTTTTCTCCACATTTTCGCATTGCCAAAACTCTTAACTTGATACCTTTTCTTTAGATATTTCTAGTTATTTTTGCGTTATTCAAACTCTTCCGCTTATCGCTTTTCTTTGTTGCTTGTACGACTTCTTCTTTTCCTTTTATTTTCCCGGTGATTGACAAGGCCAACATTGAAATGAGAAAAGAAATGAAGAATAAAGAATGATTTGAGATGAAAAATGGCGACGAGAGAAAGATGGTTCAGGCTGTGAGGACCTCATTGCTTCGACCATACATTTATCAAGCTGCAAAGGTGGATCTGATCGCACTTTAAAACTTGTCAAGCTACATCTTTAATTCTTTTTTTTAGGAAAGAAATGATATGCTCGACGAGGTGCTGTGGAAAGTGTGCGTCGAACGGATCAAAATCGAGCCACGAATCGGTTGCGACGATGGGGAGGACGTGAGCGAATCGACGTCACTGATCGAGGATGTTGATGTGATGGTGGGGCTTTTAACGGTTTTCAGTTAAATTCCACTAGTTAGTGCTTCTAGCTACGTTTGCTAAACGAGTAATGGTTAGGAATTTGAATTCTAACGAACATTTACCTGATTTTTACCTTATCATTATCACTAGCTAATCGTTTATCAAGCGCTAGCAATAAGCTGAGCGCTTTTTCAGTAGCGTAAAAAAATTGATACTCGTTCTTTGCCAACTTTTAGATTTTAGACAACTTCTTTAGATATTTCGAATTATTGCGAATTATTTTTGTGTTATTCAAACGCGTCGGCTTATCGCTTTTCTTTGTTACTTGTACGACTTCTTTTCCTTTTATTTTCCAGGTGATTGACAATGCGAAAATTGAAATGAGAAAAGAAATGAAGAAACAAGAATGGTTTGAGATGAAAAGTGGCGACGAGAGAAAGGTGATTCAAGTTGTGAGATCTCACTGCTTCGACCATCCATTTGTCAAGCTGCAAAGGTCTTATCGCACTTTTGAACTTTTCAATCTACATCTTTAATTCTTTTCTTTAGAAAAGAAATGATATGCTCGACGAGTTGCTGTGGAAAGTGTGCCTCGAACGGATCAAAATCGAGTCGTAAACCGGGTGCGATGGGGAGAACGTGAGCGAATCGACGTCACTGATCGAGGATGTTGATGTGATGGTGGGGCCTTTAACGGTTTTCGGCAAAATTCCACTAGCTAGTGTTTCTAGCTACGTTTGCTAAACGAATAATGGTTAGGAATTTGAATTCTAACGAACATTTACCTGATTTTTACCTTATTATTATCACTAGCTATTCGTTTATCAAGCGTTAGCACTGGGCTTACCGCTTTTTCAGTAGCGTGAAAAATTGATACTCCTTCGTTGCCAACTTTTACTGTAATTCTAGTCCAATCCGAAGTTTAAGCATTGAACAGATGCCCACAAGAAAGTTTTATCTGTGGTTGTAGTCGGCTGCTTTCCGTAAAACGTTATTTAAAATAGAAAAGACTTTTCCACTCCAATGGTTAATGAAGAATTGCAGAAATTGTAAATTTTCAGCTACGAGAATGCCTGTTGAAAAGCGCGTACAAAAGCGAAAGCGATAAACCGAAAGAATGAAGATTTGTATGAACTTATTGCTAGGTTGTTACCTGCTCTGTTTTTTCTTGGGTGTTAATGTGATTACGAGTGTTTTACGGTATTTATTTACGTTTTTAATGTTTGCTTGTGAATTTTCTAATAAAGTTACTACTTAAGGTGTTTTCGAGCAGTGATTTGGTTCAAGGACCATATTATTTTTGATTTATGACCGATTTTGTGGAATTTTAAGCTTGGTTTTGGAAATTTTGCTTATGGTTCCCTTTCTCCCTAGGCAAATTGCTAATTGCTTTGATATTTATGAAATTAGGAAAGTTGTTGGCTTGAAAAGGTTATGAAAAGCCAAATTTGACGTTTGACGCCAAGAACATTAGAAAACCTTTTTGTCACCAAAAATTGAGTGCTTTTTGTGTTTTCTCTTTCATTTTACGACAAGAACCAATTGTTTTCTTTTACAGGTGAAAGAATGACGCTCAAGATGCCATTTGAAGTGAGGAATCTTACGGCGTTTCCGATGGAGAAGCTCTGTTACGATCTGAAGTTGGAAGTGCTAAGCAAACGTCCGCTAAGCAAACGTCCGCTAAGCAAACGAATCCATTCATGTGACAGATTGGAGATACGCTTTTTTGGAACAAGTGAGTACGGCGGACAACTCAACAACGAACACGCGACGATTCTGAATCAATTGAACTCATTGAGAAGTTTGGTGCTCGTATTGCACAGAAAGGAGTGTGTGCTGAAATTTTTTGACAATTTCCGCTCGATGATTGAAAAATACGCGTGGATTCACCTAGAAATTGATTGGTTGAAAGAAAACCAAGTGATCAGCGAGCTTGTTGAGAATTTCATTTCAAATCAGCTGAATGACTGCGAAGAAGTCGTCTGGTGGTATTATTGTCGTTCTGCCGCTGCGTTTCACTTCTACTACGATGCTTTTGCCAAGACTTCGACCAAAATCCTAAGAATGTCAACCAAAGTGGATCACCTTGAAGAGATCGTGCAATCAATCGTTGAAAAGGGGATCCCAAGCAAGAATTCGAAGGCGGCTTTTGATGTGTATACCAGCGATTATGTGGGAACCGATGCTTCTCAGGAGATGAAGGCCCGAATCGTCGATTTTCTTTCGCAATTCCATGGAATGAAGCGATTCGAGCAAGAAAATCACGAAGAAGTCATCAAAATGGCGGACAAACTCGTGAACAAGTATAGCGGCGGATTTCGCTGGTGTCCTGTGGTGGACGGTCTATTTTTTCGACGAAACATTGACTGGAGCAGAGATTGTGTCTACATGCTGCCCTGGCGCGGCGAATACAATCAATTTCTCGCCTGCTACATTGAATCACGATAGGGAATGATCGTGTTTTGAAGGTTTTTGTCGAGTCTTTTACAGTTTTGGTGCTTTTATTGTATAATTTTGCCGTTTTTTAGTTCTCTAAGAAATAAAGTTG